ATGTGCTAAGGCCCTGGGGCAGACATGCAGCTTGAACCAAGGGACATTTTGGGAAGATGTAGGAGTATTAAGCTTGTTCACTCAAGTCTGGTGCTCTACCACTCAAGCCACAACTCCTATGGTTTTTTGGCAGTTAATTGGAGATAAGAGTCTCCTGGCCTTTCCTAGCCAAGATGGCTTTGAATTTCAATCCTCTAGATTTCAGCCTCCTGAGTAGCTAGGATTACAGGCATGAGTCTATGCACCTGACTTCGTGTGTGTGTGTGTGTGTGTGTGTGTGTGTGTGTGTGTGTTGCTAAGGATGGCACCCAGGCCTTTGTGTGCTGGTGCTCAGCCACCGAGCCACGCCCCCAGCACTAGCTCCTCCTACCATCCAGGGTGAGGCCACTGCCGCAGCCACTGCTCTGACCACAGGTGGAAAGCAGCCTACAGTTCTGATCAGAGTTGCTCTGCTCCTCTGCTGGCGTGGCCCTGAGCGTCATAGCTGGACCTGAGCACAGGGAGAGGTCACCCGTGTGCTCTTGGGTCCCCTCAGCTGGGGCACAGACTGGTGCATAGCACAACTCAAGAAATAGGGCTGAGCCGGGCACTGGTGGCTCATGCTTGTAATCCTAGCTACTCAGGAGGCTGAAATCTGAGGATCGCGGTTCAAAGCCAGCCCGGGCAGGAGAGACCGTGAGACTCCTATCTCCAATAAACCACCAGAAAACCGGAAGTGGCGCTGTGGCTCAAGTGGTAGAGCGGTCGCCTTGAGCTGAAGAGCTGAGGGACAGCGCCCAGGCCCAGAGTTCAAGCCCCACAACCGACAAAAAAAAGAAAAGAAATAGGGCTGAGGGGCTGGGAAGGGGGCTCAGTGGTAGAGTGCTTGCCTTGCATGCCTGAGGCCCTGGGCTCGATTCCTCAGCACCACATAAGCAGAAAAAGCCAGAAGTGGCGCTGTGGCTCAAGTGGTAGAGCACCGGCTAAGGAACAGCACCCAGGCCCAGAGTTCAGGCTCCACGATCCCCCCCAAAAAAGAAAGAAATGTGAAGGCCAGTGCCTGACCCCCCGCCCTCCACCGAGGGACGCAAGGGGCAGGTGGGGCATGGGCTGAACCCCTGCCTGGGTCTCCCTTCTGCCCACTAGGATCTTCCCGGACCTCAGCAGTAACGACATGCTGCTGTTTGTGGTGAAGTGCATCAACCTGCCCACGCCCCCAGGTGAGGGGGGGGGAGGCGAGGGGGCGGAGTTGTGGGCGGGGCCTGGGATATGAGGTAGGGCCAGTGGGTGTTGGGGCGGGGCTGGGAGGCGAGATGGGCGGGGCCTGGGAGTGGGTGGGTTGCAGGCGGGTGGGCGGGGCCTTGCTCGTTGTGGGGGGCGGGGCAGTGGGCGGGGCCAGGAAGGCCACCTCTGCCCTTCTGTGTCCACAGGGCTGTCCCCAGGAGACCTGGATGTCTTTGTCCGCTTCGACTTTCCCTACCCCAATGTGGTAGGTGGGGACCCAGCGTGGGGATCCCTGGGGAGGGGCGGGAGGAAGTTCCGGCCATCTTTCCTGACTTCTCTCAATCCAGGAGGAAGGTCAGAAGGACAAGACGGGCGTCGTCAAGAACACAGACTCTCCGGGTGAGCTGGCAGAGGGACAGGACACGGTGAACAGGAGGCGGGGGGGGGGGGACCCCGCGGGGCGCGGGGCTGGAAATCGGGAGGATCGCGGGGGCTCACGCCTGTCACCCTGGCTACTGAGGGGCTGAGATCTGAGGTTCTGGGGCGCCCTCCCCCTCCTAGAATTCAAGGAACAATTCAAGCTGTGCATCAACCGCACGCACCGCGCGCTCCGCAGGGTCATTCAGACCAAAGGCATCAAGTTCGAAGTGGTCCACAAGGGGTGAGCGAGGACACGGGTGCAGGGCGGGCTCCCCGGTGCGGGGGGGACACGGGACCCACCGCCTCCGGCTCCCCCCTCCCCCTCCCCACAGGGGCCTGTTCAAGACCGACCGGGTGCTGGGCACAGCCCAGCTCAAGCTGGAGGCACTGGAGACGGCCTGCGAGGTCCGGGAGGTCCTGGAGGTGAGAGCCCCCACCCCTGGGGGAGCCCCAGACCTCCCAGACCTCCCCCCTTATTCTCCTGGTCCCACCCTCCGCCCTTCCCAGGTCCTCGATGGCCGCCGGCCTACCGGGGGGTCACTCGAGGTGATGGTTCGAATCCGGGAGCCCCTGACGGCGCAGCAGCTGGAGACGACCACGGAGCGGTGGCTGGTCATTGACGCCGTGCCCCCCGTGAGCTCCTCGACCTGTGGGCGGGGGGGGGGAAACCCCAGGGGACCCGCCTGCCACTGGCTGCCCCTCTGCTCTGAAGCAGGTCGCTGCACTCAAGGCCAAGGCGCCGCCCGTCCCTGCCGCTGCCAGAGACCCCGGGACCAGGTAGACGCTGCCCGGCCCCCACCGCTGTCCGCAGCCCGCTGTCCCCCTCCCGCTCCTCCACGCTGAAGACCTGTCATCTCACCAGGATCCAGGCCCTTCCTCCCTCCTCCGCTGTCCACTGCCCTCCTTCCCTCCCTCCCTCCTTCGTTCCTCCTTCCTTCCTTCCCTCTGTCCCTCCCGCCTTCCCTCCTTCCTCCCCTCTCTTCCTCCCTCCTTCCTTCCCTCCCTCCCTCCTTCCTTCCCTCCCTCCCTCCTTCCTTCCCTCCCTCCCTCCTTCCTTTCTTCCCTCCTCCCTCCATTCTTCTCTCCTTTCCTTTATTCCTCCCTTCTTTCTTCTTTCTCTCCTTCCTTCCCTCTCCCTTGTTCTTTCCCTCCTTTCCTTTTTTCCCTCCATCCTTCCTCTGATTCTTTCCTCCTCCCTCCCTCCATTCTTCCTTCTTCTCTCCTATTTTTCCTTCCTTCCTCCTTCCCTTCTTTCTTCCTCCCTCCCCTCCTTCTTCCCTCTTTCCCTCCTTTCCTTTTTTCCCCCATCCACCCTCTCCGATCCTTCCTTTCCCCTCCCTCTCTTCCTCCTTTCCTTCCCTTCCTTCCTCCTCTCCTTCCTTCCTTCACTAGGCTGCGGTGCAACCTCCCGTGCACCTGCTCCTCCCACACCTCCTCCACCCCGGGTGTGGTGTACCCAGTTCATGGGGTGGGGGTCCCCGCGGCTCCTCACCCTTCCCCGCTCCGTGCCCGCAGGTCCTCGAGGCCCCTGCACAGCCTCAGCGTGCTGGCCTTCGACCAAGAGCGCCTGGAGCGGAAGGTGGGATGCGGACGCGCTGGGCTCTTCGGGCGGGTCAGGGCCTGGCTGGGCCTGGCGGGGAGGGGAGGGGCCTGGCGGGGAGGGGAGGGGCCTGGCGGGGAGGGGAG